AAGAACTCTGTTTAGATTCTGCACGATACATGCTCTTGTTTTGGATCAGATTTCTGTCAGGAATGTTGTTTATAATGCTAAAATATTAAGTTCTCTTTAATTTGTGCTCGAATTCTGTCGAAAACATTCTATCCAAGCATATGAAAGCCTTATATTTCACAATTGAGGTTTAGTTCTCAGGCTCCTCATCTGGGTTAATTCTGGTCTGCTGAAATTTTGCACAAGGTTCTTGTCATTTTCAAGTGAAATTGTGGATGAATTAATGAGGCAAACTTAGAGTGTAAATTTTCCTTTGTTGACATGGTTGCTTCCTATCTTCTAATGATAGAATTCTTTAGCTGTCTGTCTATTTGAGTTAATCAAATCAATTTGTCTAACCTGAAAAACCCTCTGCTTGGAAAGTAAAATTCCATGTGTTAGCATGCTTGGCTTTGCAAAATTTACCTAAACAGTTTCATTTTGGAGAATAAGTTAATGGCCATTGCTGTATGGGATACCATTTATGCATACCACATTGACAAAGTTGTGAAGTAATCATAACTTTACTTGGTTGCAAGAACTCCAGATTATGCATATTTATCTTTTAATCATTTTAACTATGAAGAGACTTCTTTCATGTTCACCACTATGCGTAAAGAACAGGAAAGTGATAACTTTTATTTTTGTAGGATAATTTGGAAACCCCATTAATGGCTCCCCCCCAACATCGTCGTTGAATGGACAGCAGAGTTGTTGGTAACAATTCAAGTATCAACAATGCGTTCTTTGTGGGTGTAGAGGAGTTTCTTTAGTTGGCAAGTCAACTAGATGAATTCAAACAAGAAGGGAAGTTTATTTGCCCTTGTTTGAAATGTAAATGTAAGAAGCATCTTAAGCCAGGTGATGTCAGGATACATTTGTATGGCAAAGGTTTTATGCCTGATTATTACTATTGGCATAACCATGGGGAGAAACAACCTGAATTGGCTCAAACTGATGCCAACATTTGCAAGTCTCCCAATCCTCATGAGCAGATGGATAAGGATGTGGTTGGAGCGTCGTTCAAGAAAGGAGGCAAATCTGAGGTTCCTTGTCCTAATTTTGCAAAATTTGATGACATGCTTGCTACTGCACAAGCTCCGTTGTATGATGGGTGTAAGAAGCATACAGCATTGTCTGCATCCTTGGAATTGTTGCGCTTACAGTCTGATCATGACTTTTCTGATGCATCTATGGATGAGATTATCACAGTGACAACTGAGGCGTTACCTGCTAATCATCGAATGCCTACTAGCCTGTACCAAATGAAGAAATTGGTTTGGAAACTTGGTTACCTGAAGATTGATGATGATAAGGCTAAGCCGGATGGTCATTCTCAACTTGTTTAAGTGAGATTACTATGCCTTCATAATCTGTAACTTTATGATTTTAAGCACAAGGTTATGATACGTTTAAATTAGGTTATGAGATTTTTAACTCGTTTAGTACTGATTTACTGTTGTGTTCCTTGCGTATGCTTTTGTGACTGTTTGGCCGCAGAATTATAGTTAGACTTGCTGTGATTATTGACGGTTTAATTGAGAGCCATGTACCAATGTTAACTTTATGAATTTGTGTGTAGGACTGACAGGTTAGCAAATTTTGTGCGTAAGACTCACAGGCTTGAAAAAGAAAGTAGATGCACTAAATTTTGCCAACATCAGATTTGTTTCCAGTCATACGGACTAGTCCTATTTTTATATTAATATGCTGCGAATTCAGTCAGAAGTAATAAGAGGGTATAAGAATGGTGCATTGATCATGCATTGATATAACTTGATTTTATTACATGCTTGAGTGCTTTAAAATGATGATTTTGAATATGTCCATTTTGCATGTTCATGAATGATATCTCTTGCATGTGATTGAATTTGGTTTACTGGTTCCTGGGACTTATTCTCACCCTATAGATTAACATTTTACAGGAGACGATCAGACTAGGAGCCAAGGGGAAGCCTCCAGCACTAAAGACACTTAAGCTTATTGTAATGTCATTAGTTTAGAATTGTGTATTTAATCCTAATTACAAACTAGGATTATGATCATCACTTGCATGTAGCCTTAGACAATGAATTTGGCATTTTTGGTGCATTTGGCCCATTGAGGTAATTGTTTACCTAAGTTGACTTTTGGATGGGGTCAAATGTTTGTGCAAGTGTAATATTTATGTTTAAACTTATCCGAACTGGTGAGAATGTTATTTGCATGTTTAGGTGATTTCCTCTATGTCTCCGCTCGTGTGATATATTATGGGTTTGAGTGGCACGTTGGGCACGGATTGCTTCTTTATCTTGTGGCATGCCTACCGTGTACTTAGCCACTATAGACGTTTCTGTTTGGCCATTGTTTTTCCCTTTTGGTCTTATATTGACTTATTATCAACTTCAATTGATTCCTTTACTTCTTGAATGTGTTTACTCTGATTTTAAAGTGTGTAAGCTATCTTTTACGGTTGTTTTTGAATTTAAATGTTTTTGGGATCTCATTTTTACAAAGATCTTATATTTACTATATTATTTTAAAGTGTTAAACTTCATTTTTTTGATTCTCAATTATACTCTCAGGAGTGCTTTTAGCGTCTTATACATTATTTTGGTTCAATTAACCTCTTAAACTTTCAAATACGGATGACTTAATATCCTACTGTTAAATTCATACTAACAGATGGTAAGTGAGAAAGTGGGGCCCAGAAATTTGCTCAATTGGCTGCACGTATCATCCATGAGTTATTGGGTTGACTCTTTTCATACATGCCATACATGTGGATGCCGTGTTACAAATTTTAGAAATTCTTAAGGAAGAATCTCCTCCCAATCTGCAACTTGACTCCCTCTGTTTTTGATATCTTCTCTCCATCTTCCATGAAGGACTTGAAGCCCTACAAGAACTCCCATGAACCACTGCCGGAGAACAAAAAGAAGCACCTTCGAACCCAAAATAAAACCCAGAAATCACTCATGGAATCCAGAAATCACTCATAGTTATTCGCCTTTCTTTGGGGAATTATCAGTTTCCCCTTTGTCTACTCTACATATTTTGGTTAAAAGAACTAGTAAATATTTGTTTCATGCTTGCTTTGTAATTCTCTGTTTTTTTTTTGTTTTCCATTCTCAAATCTACAAGTATTTTAACATCTGGTGCCTTTTCTGTCTTGAAACACACTGAAATACGTTACTTTTGTGCTCTTGTCATCAGCCCAATCAGTACAACTTTTGAATTAGGAATCAACTATGATTATCAATAGAACTCACGCATGAGCTAACTACAGCTTTTGAATCAGAATCAGAACTCTTGTTCTATAATCTTTTTGAGCAGCAGAAAATTGTAGAAGAAGAAGATGAAGAAGAAGAAGGAGCTACAACACCCCATGGTAAGTTGAGTTAAGGATCTCGGCCGCATACTTCCCCCACGGCTATCTGCTCACGTTGCGGTAGTGCTTCTTGCTAATGGCGGTGATGTTCTTGGCCATTGGTTGATTGTGATGGAGGACAATAACTGGTGCAGAAAGGTGATGATGTGTTGGCTTCAATGAGGACTTGGCAGGTCACCCTTCTTCTTCCTCCCATGTGGCAAATAAAAAAGTTACAAATGATTAACTCTGATGGCAAGATAAAATTACACATTTTTTAAAATGATTTAAGGCGGTATTATTTCAACTAAAATGTAAGAATACTTGTTGTTTTTTTTAAAAAATTTTTAGAATATTTTTGTCCTTTAACTCTTAACTTTTTATCAAAAGTTTTTCATTTTATCTTTCATTAAATATTGATAAAAATACATTATTAAAATGTGTATATTTAATATGAGTAAATTTAAAAATTAAAAATTTACTAAATTTTTAGATAGGGTTAATAAATTTTAATATTGTCCTTGATTTTAGTAAAATATGTTAAAAATAATTTATAAATCAAAATAAAATAAATATTTTAAGTTTTGAGAATAAGAATCACAAGAGTGATATAATCATGATAATCAAGTCATAGTATTTTATAATCTCCGAGGAATATGAGAGAACATGGGAGATTAATGTTCATCAAGAATATTTTTTTTATTGTTTATAAGTATTTCTTATTGGAGCATCCATAACAAAAATTTAAATATTTTATTATAATTGAAATTTTTAAATTTTTTTGTTTTGTTTTAATTTTATTTTAGAAAGACACAAACAAATAAGAAATAATAAATAAACATGAACCGGGAGAGGACGGAAGAACGGAGAAGAGGCGACGGAGACGCTCCAGTAAGGTTCGATTTCTGCGCCATTCTTCCATTTCTCCAAGAGGTCCGAACTCAGTTAATGTGTGAAAGTCTTCATCTTTCCCTTTCACTTGCAAGGTGTGGTTTATAGCTTTATTGCTGCTCTGTCATAACTCATAACTCAGTTTCATCCAACTCATTAATCTCATCCCCTCAACTTCAAATTTCGCATTTTGAAGTTAAAAGTGTTATTCTGGAAATCGGTCGAATAATGGGAGGTTGAGGTGAGGCAGTGATGTAATTGATAAGGTAGTCCTGCAACAATTATCAGTGACAACAAAGAGACACTCTAAAATCACTTTCCAATACTTGGCTGAAGTTAGACTACTCAATAGTTTGCAAAATTACAGCCACAAAATAAGAGTCACAACTCCTGTAATAACAATAATAATGCTGCATTAATGGAAGATAAATTTGTTGATTTTGTATATTTCAATTCATATGAATAAGTAAAGTAATGCATGCGTATTTGAAGAATTTATGAGTGCTTGAGAAAGCTCGATTACGTAAATAGACGCATAACCCATTGGTCCCCAGAATCTTTAGGGAGTGCAGAGATAATGGAACAGAAGAAAAGGAGTCGTGTGTTTAGTGGTTATCGACCGATTGATTTATAAGAATCAGATCGGTAACCGTCTTATTAAATAATTAAATTAAGAGATAGGGAATAACTGACGGCTATTGTGTTATGGCTGAGCCTCTGCCCATTGGGCTCATTTGTGTGGTCCAGCTATCACGATCCATACAAGATAATAAAGACCAATCTATTTAAACTTATTAATTAATGTTAATCCATAAATAAATATTTCAACAAAACTAAGAGTAAGGGAAGGGGAAGATTTCCAAGAAGGAGAAGAGGAAATCCACTGAGGAGGAGAAAGACCAGAGACGACACACAATATTCTTCACCCCCTCTCTGACGTTGTTGCCAATACTATATTCTGCCTTGCTCCCTGAATCGTGCAGGAAGTTGCGCCTAACGGTTTGCTGCAGAGTATCGTCCTTGGAGTTGTGGTTGGGTGCCACCTGTCCTTTGTGGGGACCAATCCCATTTTTTAGCATAACAGTAATGTTCAGTAATAAGCATATTGTGTCGGACTCAAGTCTGATGGTTTTGAAAAAAAAAAAAAAATGCAACAATAGGCCATAAAACTTATAAAATGGAATGCATGTGGGAAAGCTTTCAGCCTACGCCATAAGGGTGAAAACATAAAAGGAAAAGAGTAATAAGTCATCAGACTTGAAATTCAAATTGTTTGTGTTGTGTGATTGTTTGTTTGCTTGTTCTCTTTCTTTTTATTTAATGTCACTTAAAGGTGTGCTTTGATGGCGAAATTTCTACACATGTGAATGATATGTTTTGGGGCTGAAAATCACTGCACATGGGCTATATTTCTTTGCAAAATTCTGTGGTAAAATACATGTTTGTGACTAATTGGGCTGACAAGTGCTACATCTTGCCGTGCATTGGAATTCTGCACTCATTGAGGTTGTGTTTTGGGCCGGAAAGTGCTTCATGTGGATGTGGTCAATGTTTTACTCAAAAGCTCCATTTAAATTTTTGAAAGCTGCTTGTCATGAGTTGAGAAGTAAAGCATATGGTCAAGATTCTGTTTAAGAACTCTGTTTAGATCCTGCACATTACATGCTCTTGTTTTGGATCAGATTAATGTGTTTTATTAATGCTAAAATCTTGGTTAAGTTTTGTTTAATGCGTGCTGGAATTCTGTTGAAATTGTTGCATGTTGATATTAAATTTTTATCTAAGCATAAGCTTATATTTCACAATTGATGTTTAGTTCGCAGGCCCTGCTTCTGTGTTAAATCTGGTATGCAGAAATTTTGCACAAAGGATCTTGTCATTTTCAAGTTAAATTGTGGATGAATTAATCAGGCAAGCTTGGAGTGTGAATATTCCTGTGTTGACATGGTTGCTTCCTATCTTCTAATGATAGAATTCTTTAGCTGTCTATAGCGTTAATCAAATTGTCTAACCTGAGAAACCCTCTCCTTGGAAAGTAAAATTCTGTGTGTTAGTATGCTTGGCTTTGCAAAATTCACCTAAACAGTTTCATTTTTGAGAATAAGTTAGTGGCTATTGATGTACTTTATTTTATCTTACTCCGTTTTGTATTTAGGTACTACAAATATTAAACATGTGTTCAATCTATGTTAGCTTTATATCCGGCTCCTTATAGAGATAAATCATATGGGTTCTATTGTGAGTATAGAAACTAATACTTGTATAAAGCTGATATATTAATAAGTCAATTATCATGTTTCTAGTAGTATAAAAATTTACACCTACTTTATGAAGTCAAGGTCAATGATAATGAAATACAGGTCGATTAATTAACTTCTACATATTAGGTGAACCTAACTCACAATAATTGGAGGTAAAAAAAAAAAAGAACAAGAATTTTGAAACTTTATGAAGTCAAGGTCAATTAATTTGTAATATTGTATATCAAGTTCCATTAACATAGCTTTCATCTTTATAGTAGTTTTGCATTGTAATATCCTAAAATTTTAATCTAAGATTTATAAATTAATTAAGGGTAAATTAGCACATTGGAGTAATAATTAAGTTAATTATGTTTCCAAATCACTAATGGACTTATTGGAATGTTGGACAACCTTAAGATTGTGTGGTAAGATGGGTATTGGGTCAATTGGGCCCCAATAGAAGACCTAAAACACATTTAGGGCCCTCTACACCATTTGTCGTGGCAGATGCACCGTATATGTGATACACCAAATGGCTTGGAACTCAAGAGGAAACAGGAAAAACACAGAGAAGATTGGGTTTCATGGTTTTGGGCCTTTTAGAGGTTCTAGGAGCTTAAGATCTTTGAGGTAAGCCTCCTTTTTCATCCTCCTTCCTTCTCATACGAAATTTCTATGGTTTGGAGTGTTGAGAGATGATGATTTTGTTTTTAGGAATGATTGATCCAAACTCATTGACTTAAATGGAGTCTTTGAGAGTTAGTTTAAGTTTGTATGCTTAAGGTTAGTGATTTTGTAGAGTTTGGGGTTGGACTCTAGGGTTTGGATGAACCCTAGTCTCTAAATAGATGTTTGGGAGCAATATGGACCACTAATTTGTGTTGTTTAACCCTATGAAAGCTAGATGAAACTAATAAAAGATTGTTAAGGTTTTGATTACGCCAAAGATAGGAGTTATGAATTAAAATTAGCTAAATCAACATTCCTTACTAATTTTTTCACTAATTTGGCATTTTAAAAAGAAATAGACAATTCGTTGCTAAATTCCATGGCTAATTCACATTTTTTTAATAGTGTAATGTTTATAAATGAAGTCTTTTAAACTCTTATGTTCAAACCAAATAAAACATTAATAATAAAACTTATATAAAATTTTCACAATAATTTATTTGCTTTTAACTATTATTACTTTGTGAAGAAGTATATCTTAACTTACAAAGAAATGTGATCAATTAATATGAAGTTAAAGTTTTTTTTCTACACTTTCAAGGAGTACTTGGTGTCTTGTACGGATAAGTAAGATAATTTTCTTTCAAAGCAATTTTTTGAAGGGAAAAAAACCCTTTGGTGAGTGACACATTAAGTCCTTTTTTTTTTTTTGCTGACATGGCATGAGCTTGGTACTTAGTGTAGTGATAGGTATTCCTTGTTGACCATGTCCTTTACTACTAATATATCATTGAACTTTTTTTATATCAAAGAGGGTGAAAAAAGAAAATGACCATTAGTTTATACTCAAATAGTTAATATAGATGTAAAAAAAAAAATCCAATTAAAGAAATAAAGAGAACGATCCATAGGATACCTTCTTTTTGATCATGTATCCTCATCCTCATCTTCGTCTTCATCGATCTTCATCTTCATCTTCATCCTCCTCCTCTTCAAAAATAAACACACTCTCTCTTCAACATTAGTTATCGGATGACATTATGAGGTCTCAATCATCTTATCTAGGCCAAATATAAGAAGTAGAATTAGGGAGAGGAAGCAAACTTACTTCTCATTGAGATTAGAATCACCGAATGGCTTTGAATTGTTCGTATAAGCCGATAAAGCATGAGTCTTCAATTTTTTTTTTTTTCAACTCTCATTGCCTGATCGTGACAACAAAATGGAGTCAGTGTCAGCAGAACAATAGCTCAAACTCATCCAATCACAAAATAACGTACATTGAGAACTAATTCTAAACCTTTCTCTAAGCCTTTTTAGCCAGGTACTCTTTTATTTTTTCTTCAGTAATGATCCTCGGGTCCTTTTCTTCTAGCGACCTCGTTCGTCACTATCATCTGAGACATGCTCGGTTGGTGAGCTCCGACACTGCAACCACCGACTACTGCTACCACTACAATGATGACTTTCTCCTGCACTTGTCAAAACCCCATTTGAGCGATGATTCAAGGCTATCTAACTCAGACAGGGAAGGTGATCTGATTCTGAATCATATGACCTTTGCCTTAACCTGAACGTTCTCTCCTACTTCTGCTGCTCATTATCTTCTACGTACTACGAGAGTAATAAAGAGATCTGACACAGCCTAACACCCCACAGGAAAGATGGAGAAAAATGGGGACGAAGTAGATCTAACCATTGTCAGGGTGATTGATACTCAAATATAGGAAACGCCCCTCTTAACACCCACCATGGTTCCTTCATCCCCATCGTCAGGGTCTAAAGGGAGAGGTTATTGGGGTAAGCCCTCATCGTCCTTCCTCCTGTGTAAGGCAGTACACAACGCAACGTAGTGGCGAAACTCTGCCACCCCAGCTGCCTAGCTCTCCACCATCGGTAATAGACCCATTTGCAAGCGACATCTCATCTTAGCTTCTGAAATCCATTAAGGCATATGAAAAAGCAGATCGCTTTGCTATAGAAATTTGAATTTTGAAGATGGAGAGTATTGAGAGACACAAAGATAAGGATGCCTTGGGAACAAAACTCTCTCTTCATTTGTGTATTGCGACACTCAAAAATATGGGAAACAACAGATGTTAATGCTCCCGAGATAATTCAACGATCTCGTTGAAACATACAAGTAGGGAAAAATAAATTAAAATTGAAAAAAATAAATTGAATCTCAAAAACCAATATAAAGAAATATTCAATGAAATTAACCAATAAGAGAATAATATCAAAATTAGCCTCTAAAGTCCACCAACCAATTAGAGACAATCTTTTTTTAGCCAATCAAGTTGAATCTATAAGATTTGTATAATAGAGTTGATTGATTAATTGATAGTTGATTGATTGATTGATGATTGATGATAGTTGATGATTGTTTGATAATTAATAATTGATGATTGATTGATAGACTCCCTTGCTCGTAAATAATACATAGATGTACACCGACTCAAATGCCACTATTTCATTGACCAAATAATTAAGTTACATATATTCAATTACTTCCCTTGCCTTTTTATACACACACACACACCACACACACATATATATATATATATATATATATATATATATATATAATTGTTTTAAAAACTTTATATGGGTGTAATGATAATTTCGAATAATTGAATAGTTTTGCACTTATTGTATTGAGAAAGGTAGAAAATATTAATTGTATATTTTACCTATCACCATGGTGTTAATTGTGACATTATTATGGGCAAAACTAAAAAATTATTATAATTTTAAATGCTTTCAACTAAATAATAAACTTTTATTAGTATAAAAGATTCAATTAAAAATACTTTGTATATAGGGATGTGAGAGTAAGGTCCTTTCTCATAGTATCATATTCACATTTTTAATTTGTTCATCAATTATAAATACATAAATCCTATGGTACTTAAATAAATAATTATCTATTGACCAAGACTTCGTAGCTTGTAAATAATAGACAGTACATGCACACAATTGAAATGCCATCAAGTAATTGACCAACAGAATTTGATCAGCGTTGTAATGTTGCATATGGAGTCTAGCTCAATTAAATTATTTCCGTCAAAAAATAATTCCCTTGCAGAAGATGCATTCACACTTTCACATGCACATCGATTTACTTACCGCGCTAACTATAGAGTTCGCAAGTGCTTCTTATTATATATAAATCTAATCGTATATATCACACATTTGTGGATTAGTTATGCAGACAAGTACATATGGGTCTGAAAAGGAAAATAAAGAGAGGGCAGATAAGATAAACCCCAAGTGAGAGGGAACCAATTTTTGAGCGCATAGCAAGGAACACGAGCAACGCAACTAATTATCCAGAAGCTATGGCCGTCATTCCAATGTTGAAAGGAGCAAATTATATGATTTGTGGAGTCGGAAAATGAAGACTATGTTCAAGTCTCAAAGGCTGTGGGACTTGGTGGAGAAGGTATTTGAAGACAACCAATCTGCAGGCAAGACTGATAATTCAACAAGCCTTAGATGATGAAATTTTCCCTTTCATTGCACCAGCAACTACCTCGAAACAAGCCTGTGACATTTTAAAGCAAGAATCACTACCCAAAAAAAAAAAAACAGCAAATTAGTGACGAAATTTGCTAATCCATCACTAAACCATTGCTAATTTGGTTACTAATTTAGCGATGGAATCTAATGATAGAACATTTTGTTGCTAAAATTTTATTATTATTCTATCGCTAATCCGTCGGAAATAATTTACTGACAGAATTTATTGATGGAAAATTTTATCGCTAATGCTCAAGATATCTTATTCCGATTTAGTGACGGAATTTGCGATGAAAAATTCCATCACAAAGCTTTCTGTTATAATTATGTCGCTAATTCTGTCACAAATTATTTTTAATTTAATTTAATTATTTATAATATATATTTATATATAATTTATTTAATAACTTATTATTATGCTATAACTACATAATTTAAAAATTATAATTTAAAATAATGTATTATTTTAAATTATTTGTATATTATTAATAATAATTTAAATTGTATATTTAATTATTCTTATTTAAAAATAAAAATAAAATAAAATAATTAAAAAATAAAAATTTAAAATATTATATATTATATAGATACAAATTATTATATAATATATAATGATAATAAAACATTTTTCAATTTAATATTAAATTTATTATCATAAATAATTTTTTAAATAAAATATAATAGAAAAAATTATTATATATAAATTAATTTTTCCATATAAATAAATAAATATAATGTTAAAAAAAAGTAAATGTAAAGGCTATATTTAATAATAATTTAAAATAATATATTTATTAATATATGTGTGTGTGATTAAGTATTATATATTTAATTTATCAATTAAGATTAAAGATTCCTTTCAGCTTAACTGATAACAAGATAGACGCAAAGGCATTAGGGTGTATGAGATTGCAAGTTTGAACCTAGCTAAGGCACAATTAAAGGTAAATAATATTTGATATGGCAGTGGCAGCGACAAGTAACGTGGTGGTGATATGGCAATGAGGTGGCATTGGTCCATCGGGTCACGTGGCAATAATATTTTAGTCTACCTAATAAATTAGCGACATAATAAGCCCGTTAAAAAATTAGTGATGAAATACATTTTATCGCAAAGTCAGAATAGCTTATCCTTGTTTAATGACAAAATTTCTATTGCTATTCCGTGGCTAATTAGTGATGGAATGCAATTTTGTCGCTAATTCTGTCACTAATTAGTGATGGAATTTGCAATTCCGTTGCTAACAAATTAATAATGGTGTTTTTAACGATGAAAATATTTTGTCGCTAATCCGTTAATCGACAGAATTTTCACTGATTAGTGACGAAAAATTCATCGCTAATTAGCTGTTTTTTGGTAGTGAATATAACAATAACCTAATAATGAAGGTATACCAGTTTTGCATATCGCGCGCGCTTTTTTGATAGTGATTAAAATCATATGTAAGATGTGAGTATGTTAATTTGTGGGAACAAGGAAAGACGGGAAGATGAAAGAGATAGAAGAGGAAACTAATATAAACATGGTCGAACTCTGGTGTGGGTAACCGTGAAGTACCTAAACAAATAGGTGCAGAAGCTGAGAAACATGACACAAAGGGGGAAAAAAATTGGACACAGCGGCCAAGAAGGGAAATTACGATGTTCATTCATGTAGTTTTAGCATGTTGTAGTATTAGTCTATATACCGTTTTTTCATTGCTCCAAGTTTTTTAAGTTTCAGCAATCTACAACATGAGTCCTTATTATTACTGACAAAAATAAATCTTCTAATATATACATAACTTTGTTAATCCTATATCTAATTTGATAAAATTATGATAAGTTGGATGTTATGAGAGCAAAATGACTACTAACTTTCGCTTGCTTGTCCTTGTTGTGTTTCCTTCCTTATCATGTTTCATTCATTGTGGGTTCAAGATTTCTGATTTGACATCCTACTTTATAATTCCGTTACTAATTTTGTCACAAATTATTTTTAATTTAATTTTATTATTCATAATATATATTTATATATAATTTATTTAATAACTTATTATTATGCTATAACTAAATAATTTAAAAATTATAATTTAAAATAATTTAAAATATTATTTTAAATTATTTTCATATTATTAATAATAATTTAAATTTTATATTTAATTATTCTTATTTAAAAAAAAAAATAAATAAAAGAATTTAAAAATAAAAATTTAAAATATTATATATTATATTGATGCAAATTATAATATAATATTAATGATAATAAAATATTTTTCAATTTAATATTAAATTTATCATCAAAAATAATTTTTTAAATAAAATATAATAGAAAAAATTATTATATATAAATTAATTTTTCCATATTAATAAATAAATATAATGTTAAAAAAGTAAATGTAAAGGCTATATTTAATAATAATTTAAATGATATATTTATTAATATATGTGTGTGTGGTTAAGTATTATATATTTAATTTATCAATTAAGATTAAAGATTCCTTTCAGCTCAATTGACAGTAACGTGGACGCAAAGACATTAGGGAGTATGAGGTTGCAAGTTTGACCCTAACCAAGGCACAATTGAAGGTAAATAATATTTGACATGGCAGTGACAAGTGACGTGGTGGTGACATGGCGGTAAGATAGCACTGGTCCATTGGGTGATTAGGACGTGGCAGTGGCATGGTGGTGAGGTAGCATTGGTCCACCAGGTGATATGGCAATGATATTTTGGTCCACCTAATAAATTAGCGACGGAATAAGCTTGTTAGAAAATTAGTGATGGATTAGCAATAGAATGCATTCCGTCGCAAAGTCAGAATAGCCTATTTTTATTTAGTAATGAAAAATTTCTATTGCTATTCCATCGCTAAATAGCAACGGAATGCAATTTTGTTGCTTTGCAATTCCGTCGTTAATGAATTAATGACGGCATTTTTACCGATGAAAATATTTTGTCGCTAATCTATTTAGTGACAAAATTTTCACTGATTAGTGATGAAAAGTTTCATTGCTAATTAGCTGTTTTTTTTGGCAGTGAATATGACAATAAGCTAATAATGAAGGTATACCAGTTTTGCATATCGCACGCGCTGTTTTGATAGTGATTAAAATCATGTGTAAGATGTGAGTATGTTAATTCGTGGGAACAAGAAAAGACGGCAAGATGAAAGAGATAGAAGAGGAAACCAATATAAACATGGTCGAACTCTGGTGTGGGTAACCGTGAAGCACCTAAACAAACAAGTGCAGAAGCTGAGAAACATGACACAAAGGGGAAAAAAAATTGGACACAGCGGCCAAGAAGGGAAATTACAATGTTCATTCATGTAGTTTTAGCATGTTGTAGTATTAGTCTATATACCCTTTTTTCATTGCTCCAAGTTTTTTAAGTTTCATCAATCTACAACATTAGTCCTTATTATTACTGACAAAAATAAATCTTCTAATATATACATAACTTTGTTAATCCTATATCTAATGTGATAAAATTATGATAAGTAGGATGTTATAAGAGCAAAATGACTACTAACTTTCGC